TCCTGATTTTTCCTCCTCTGCGGTCTGGTTTGTTCTCTGCCATAGTAGGTTGTTGTTAATATTTTCTGGCCAACGGATCCGAAGTATTTTGAGTAGACGACTGTTGATAAACACTTGTATCTTCTGGATGATGGCTTTGATAGTTCTCCAGGATTTTGCCCCATACAGTAGAAGTGTCTTAATATTTGTTTTGAACATTCTGACTCTGATTTTGATTGACAGTTGTTTTGAGTTGCAGACGTTCTACTTTTGTAAATATGCCGCTCTTACTTTGCCGATCCGCGCCTTCACATCTGCATCAGATCCAGCGTAGTCATCAATGATGCTGCTCAAATATGTAAGATTTTTTATATCTTCCAAATCTTCTCCGGCAGTTGTGATTGGATTGCTGCATGCTGTGTTGTATCGGAGAATCTTGCTTTACCCTTTGTGTATATTGACACCTACCACTGCTGAGGCGGCTGACATATTGGTCGTTCTCTCCTGCATTCTTTTCTCAGCGATTGATAGATGAGCCAGATCATCTGCAATGTCTAGATTGTCCAGCTGCATCCTGTCAGCTTCTCTCTTGGTTCTCATGTCCTCCATCGTCCTTCAGAACATTTTATTGATGCAGATATGGTCGATTTGGTTCTGCGTAGTGGAATCCGGTGAAGTCCATATGACTTTGTGTATGCGATTATGTGGGAATATGGTGCCGCCTATGACCAGTTTATTGAAGACACATAGGTTTGCAAATCTCTCAAGTAGTTATGGAAGTCCATGTCTCGTATCACAACTATTACTAACATTTAGTGATGTTAATAATCACAATTTCTTTGAGCAGACTCACAGCCTATTCATTCGTAAACATTTATTGTACAAATATGTTCTCAATGGTTATTTGGTTCATTCATACGAGGACATATTTGCTCAGATCTTGAGTTAGCACGTAATTCAAGATATTTTCTAGTTTTCAAGATAGTTTGAACCACGAACTGACTTCAGCTAAACAACCATCCGAAACCAGGGAACACACCTGACATATAAAAAACAGTATTGCAAATTGAGCGAAGTCACTAACATGAATTGATGGGTGTTAAGTCCCATGTATAAAAACGTGCAGCGTGTATTATGCAATAGGCTCGATCTGTGGCATATATTCGTGAGTACATTGCTGAGAAGTTCCGTACTCAACATTCTGGTAATCAGAAAGTTAAAATCAGTACTGGAGATAAGCTCTCTAAGTAGAGGATAATAAATCATGGGTGGAAATTGATCTATAGTTTGAAGCGGTTGCGAGTTCATTCAGACCGCAAAGGGCTGTTTTAAGACCTGTTGAGAAATCTGCGCATATTCGTTTTGTGCCATTTGCTTTCCTAATAACCACAATGGATGCTGCTCAATCAGAATAAGGAATAGGTCCAATGACTTCCTGTAATTGAAGGTGATTGAGTTCTTCATCAAGTTTGATAATGCCGTATACGGCACAAGTCTCTTTGGATGGAAGACAGGCTTGGCTCCAGGTGTCAACCGATTTGTTGCTTTCATAGCAGTGCATTTACCCAATACAGGCTGGAAAAGGGTTGAAAACTCCGTCATTAGCTTCTTCGTATATGCATCAGGTTCATGGGTTGTTTTATCAGGTAGCACACGGTGCTTAACTGGACATCAGCTAAATGCAGTTGGTCGAACCAATCTCGGTGAAAATCGAATCTTGGAAAGACACATTACAGTCTAATTTTACCAAAAAACGTAGATGGTTACAGCATGCAGTACGAGGTTTTTGTGTCGTTCGCACGGTGCGTGATCTAATTCTTTCAATTTATATTTTCCGCGAGAGAATGGTCACGTCTGATGCCGTGTCTACTTGTAATCTAAACGGACGAAGATTAATATTAATGACAATACATTGTCTCTCATATGGGGTATAGTTCTGACAGCTTTCAAATAGACTCAATGAATTCGTGCTGGATCTAGGCGTAGGCTTTCTGGTACCTCTGGAGCTGCTCGTGTTCTTTTCTTGAAAAAAACCATCTTTATGACCCACGGCTTTAAGCTTGCTGCACCGATGTTGTTTGTATGGACAGCTTCAACATAATGCCATGTACCGGAAAGCCAGCATGGGACAAGTGGATATGTTTTTGTCTGTCGACATGAACTAAGTGTCCCTGGGGCAGATTCATGCGGGTTGGGTAGTTTTTGCACTACATGAACTTTGGTACGATCTGAAAAACCACACTAGATCATCGAAGTGTCACGCTGCAGATTGATTAGAGATTGATATTCATTTCCCATATCATTAAGAGTTAGTTTCGGGTATTGATCCAATCGACAAAGCAAGCGTGTTCTAATATCACTGAACGTCTGCTATTGGAGACTGCAGATGAGAATGAGTGCACTAAATTGGTCTTCAGTAGGCGAATTCAACCGGAAGTGTTCAATTTCTCGGTTGGCGATACTCACATGTGTGAGAAAATCAGCATGTTCGTTCATAGTGAGCTTCAAGCATCGATAGCGCACATTGAATAGTGAGAATTTGACTCGGAATTATTGACTCAATGACTGAAACGTGTCTGAGAATAAGCGATCGCGTGGGTTTAGAAACAGAATTAGGTTGCAATACCTGTCTAGTTCACTAGGATCCAACTTTCGAAGAGGCAATCGGACCTTTCATGCATCATCTTGAATAAAAAAGTCAAATTTGAATAAGTCTTCATTACGTCGAAACCACATATCAAACGTGACATTGGATTCCGGATCGTAATGAAACTCGGAGATATTGTTTGCGAAACCATCAACTGATAGTGCGGTAGAAGTAGGATTTGAACTGCTTGGTTAAATATTAGACATAGGCTTTGCATCCGCCAACTTCTGAATAAGTTTCATATGCTGCTCAAGCAATAATTCCACTTCAGCAAGATCCATGTTTGCGCCAAAGTATATTCTGCAAACTGCCAGAAACGAGCGATAACAACAAACACAAATCAAAACGTATATTCACAACACAAAATCGTTCTTGGGAAGAGTTACAAAATAGCATACTAAAAGACACAACGGATCGATAGCATTCAAGATTCTCCCAAGTCGGAAATACGACATGAAGATGAAAAGAGCGCCTCTGGTGCGAAAACAAATAAATTCAAATTGTCTAAATAAAATTATCAGACTAGGTCCTTTTCCAAGTGAGTTCTGGTGATCTAACATTCCCGTCAACTTTATCGAATGTCTTGCGATCGGACTCTCATAGGAGGAAATCATAATTGATTCAAGTTTCGTATTAGTTGAAGCTCATCTTAAAAGAATGTGCTTCGTTTGTTTTATTAACACACCACAACCGCCATGCAATTAATGTCAGCTCCTCAGCCTATCGATCAAATGAAGCATATAACTTAGCTGCTTATCAAAGTGTAGTAAGGAGCACAATATTTGTAATCGATTATTTCATTCTACTTAAAGGTGATTGATCAGTTTGATGACTAATAAAATAGACAGTGAGATAAAACATAATAGCTGTTACAGCTTAGTTCAAGACTTTATAGCTATGTACAGAGAATATCATGGGAAAAAATGAATCCATGATCTACAAATTTTTAATGAACATAAAATTATAATTAACCACTAAATGGAAACGTTATTTTCCGAGTAACTTCTGTCAGTTTTCAAATTGTCCTTGTTATCAAACAGAAGTTACTTTCACCTTCTACATAATAATAGGCAATACGCACAGTATACACATATACTATTAAAAAAGAGACTGATCCATTGCAGTCTTAAACCTGAATGGGAAGATACAACCAAAAAATATCAAGTGAATTTAAACGTCAATTCATTGCACAAGCAAGTGGCTATCAGGTCTCATTAGTTAAGTGGATAACGCGATGGCGTTTGAAGCGGACGGTACTGGGTTCGAGTCCAAGAGTGAACATCAACTATGAGATACGAATTCAAAATAGGACCAAACAGGCGTTCTGGATTCCACTGAAAATCACAATCCATGCTTGTGAATTATGTCAATATCGAAGCAAAACGCACAGTTTGAACATATTATCAATAAAAGAGACACTGATCAATTACAGTCGTAAATATCAAAGTGAAAAGATTCAAATAAACAACAATACCGAATGAACTGAAATTAATCTTATTTAACACATTTAAAAAGATACCGTTCATTCATATAAATGAATCTGTGATGAACCAATCATGTGAATTGAGAATTTCATGTACATATATTATGTAATCCATTTTTTTATTATTTCATCAATATCGAATCAACCAATCAGAATAGAATAAATGAAGAATATCCTGTTGTATCGAACAAACCAATCAGGATAGAAGTTTAAAACGTTCTGTTCTATCAAATCAGCCAATCAGAATAGAATAAAAAGAATTCCGTTCATTTTCTTTAATATCATATAAATGAAATACATTTCGAATAGTTATTCATCTGTTGTTCAATATTACCAGGTTTTTATTGATAATCTAACATTGATTGATTCATTTATGATCTCAATCAAGAGAACAACAACAACAACAACAAAATAGTAATAATAATCTCGATAATGAACATTCCCATTTTGATATTTGGTAAATGATGAAGGAATGAATCGAATGAAGAGATTTCTTTTCAATTAGTCTTTTTCTTTCATCACTGCTCTATATCTGATTTACAATAATGAAATAATACTCATCCAGTAGACACATTACGTCATAATGAGGTATCGATTCGAAATTAATATTGAGTAGTTGGAAGAAAGAGGAATAATAATAATCAAAGTAATGTTTCGAAAATCAAGTAGTTGCTGTGTTGCATCAGTCTATAGTCCTTTCACTGATAGTTATTATTCACTTGGAAATAAACTATCTACACGTAACATCTAATGTCCTATGGTCATATGTAGTAGTACACAGTAGAACAATTGCAAACGATAGCTTAAATGACTTCACTGAATGGTGTTCCATTAATTGACAGAATAAACTCTATCTATTCTTAATGATACAAAATAGACAAGTAATGAATAATGAATGAAAGTCATGAATTAACTCGTATGATTCGTACAACTATTGATTCTAATAATTATCAATTACAATCAAGTAATTTAACTGTATTATGTTTATGTATTGCATTAATTATATTAACATGGTTAACTAATTGTATTCTACTTGGTGGGATATTACAAACAAAAGGAGATGGTAAACATGTATCTATGGTTTATTATTTTATTGGATCACAAGCAATAGCTTCTTTATTACATGTAACATTAAATTTGCCACCAGCGATTGTGAATATGCTATTTGGTAAGTAATTTTTGATGATGATGATGATGCTTTGGATGATGATAATACTAATGAAAAGAGTAATAATGGTACTACGATTACTACCAATATTTCCATTAATTTGACAAATTGGAATATTTTCCTAATCTGATTAGGTTCTTGTGTTTGATGAATTGAAACAATCAATATTAGCATTCTGTTTGACCTGTCAGATAAATATATCTGTTATATTGTGAATTCATATAGTTTGTGTATAATATGAACATGAATCATCAATTTTGACAATCGGAAATGCTACTACTGGACTTTTGGGGGTTATTGTTGATATGTTTTTAACACAGAAATGTTCGTAATCTTCTGTTTCTGAGTAGTCGTTGATACCATGTTAAAGCATCTTGTTATTTGAGTCCAATCACCCAAAGTCAATAAAGTGTTCTTCATTGAAATCATGAATTGATCGATAATAGACCACCATTGAAAAGCTGAAAGCAATGGAAGGCCAATTCTTTCTAGGTTGAGACTCTTCGGCAGTGTACATTCATGATCGTGCTTGCGGGACTCGAACCCAGGACCTTCGTTCTCGTGTGCAAATATTCAACCCCTAGACCATTAAGCCGGCATCAAACGGTGTTCCATATTAGCTTGAAACCGCTGTCAAGTGATTCCGGATTTTCACTGGTGGTCTAACATTGATCGATTCATAATCCCAGGCAAAAGCTCAACAGTCTCCACAACCCCATACTTTCAATAAAGTGTGTTCACTGATGCCGTGTAACGTGATTGGTTGACTATATAATCGCTCGATTACTAGAATTTCAAGCCAAACAAGAATATACAATATGATATTTCTTAATACATCATAGTCGATTAATGAGTGTAGTTATAAATGAAAATAATAATCTTGATTAGCCAGTTTTTGTTAGAATATACTGTAAAATATTATTTATTTATTTAAACACATAAACGGTGATACATGGAGGCACCAAATAGATATGCGTCACTGAACCATTCAATTTGTGTGAGGGCTGCTCGGGTGTCCAAACCGAAGCATGTGATTTTCTTAGAGGGCCATATCCGGAGCCTTCGACTTAAAGTCTAATCCACAAGGAAGTGGAGTAACGTAAGAAGATGCACTGCCATGGTTACTGGTGACCAACAATAGGTTCATACGCCAATTGTTCACTCAGGATACTGGAGTGCATGTGCACCATTGGTTTGGAATGAGGGTTTTCCAACCTTCCTAGGTGGATCCTCCGTAACCACCAACCCGATTAAAACGCCGGACATTCGTTTTTCGTTCTCTCAATTTAATAAACAACATCCCTGCCTTGAGTATCCAGTAGTTGTATGCACGTGGCCACTTAAGAGAGAGCTGACTCTTTCCACTCTCGGCCTTACTAGCGCATTCGGGGTTCGCATTTAACAATTAACCCTAATTATTTTCATAATGTAATTGTAATTGCTGGCATATACGAATATTCTTTTTATAAAGTTACATAGGTGCCTACTCATCTTCATTATTTCAAAGTTAAATGTCTAATAAGGTATGGTAGATTCAATGCATAAATCACTTACATTTATGCATAAAATGATTCATTCATATATTATTCATCTTTAGTCATTTACACTCCTCTCCCTTCTGGTAGACGATTAATTGATGTCTTACATAATGCATCAATATTGTTTAGAAATGATTAATTCATATGTTCCCCATATTCTCGACATTGAATGTTTAACAATGAATGTGTTACTATTGATTTGACATAGAAATACGTTAGTGATAACAATTTTCTAATATTGCCTATAGTGTATGAATAACTATCATAGAAGAAGAATATGAATCCATGTGTGTGTGTGGTTGTGTGTGTTTCTAACAAACTTTACGTTAGCGATTAACAATTCAGATAGTATTAAGATTTCTGTATCTTTGAAGATAATCAATAAACGATGAATAAACGATTTTCAGTATTATGGTTGTGGAGATTAATAAATTTTTGATTGAGATCATGAATCAAAAACTTAATAATCTCCACAACCCCAATACTGATAATTAATATATGCTCACTAATGAGTAGCTTCGTGAGGTAATTCTTGGAGTTCTAATGAGAAGCCGTGACCAATGGAGTTAATCCGTGTCGGGTACAGACAGGTATCTACCTCAGTATAATGGAAGATGGTCGCGTTATTTCGTGGACTGGTTAATTTTAGACACTAACACCATTGGATGCGGGCTCAGTGATCCAGTAGGTTAAGCATTCGCACGCGAGACTGAAGGCTCTGAGTTGGAATCTCGTGAGCGGGATCGTGGATGTGCACTGATGAGGAGTCCCATAGTGGGATGAAACGGCCGTCTAGTGCTTCCAGGTTTCCAACGGTGGACTAACATCAGTCGGTTCATGATCTCAATCTATAATTGATTTAAATAAATAATATATTTGTAATATCCCAATGAGTAGAAAATTAGATTTTCTGACGTTTCGTGGCTTAGTGTAAGTCACTTCTGAAGAAGTGACTTACACTAAGCCACGAAACGTCAGAAAATCTAATTTTCTACTCATTGGGATATTACAAATATATTATTTATTTATAACAATCAACCCAATGCTCAATTTATTCGAAATTATCAAATCAAACCTTGGTAATGATACCTATAATTGATTTGTTACATCTTAGTTAATTTGTTGTTATTAAAAGATTGCAAATAGATTAATCAATTCTAAGAAGACACAATGGTCAACTTTACTTTATTTTAGGGAATTCAGTTATTGATATGTATCCTAATTGAATACTAGATTCGGTTTCTTAAACTCTTTTAGTAAACTGTAGGCTAAATTTACACAACAATTTGAGCACGAGAGAAAAGGCGTGAAATATAGAAGAAAACACTTTAATTCAAGATTTGCTTATGTACAGAAAATCTAGGGTTTTTCTAGCATATTATATGTGTTAAAACTTGTACCCTGTTATTGAATAACGTAATGATACCGCAAATTAGAGAACAGTAATTTGTAGACCGGATCAATCACGCATAAAACCTGTACGAGCAGTCTAGAGTCTTTATTGGTCCTATGTTTTCACCTAGTCCTGACCGTGTTCACTGTCATATAATAGACAAATGTGACATTTGTAAGTAAACTTGTGACCAATCTTGTAACTTAGAAAATTATATCAAACATGTGTTCATATCAGAATAGGTTTTTGTGGTTATTATAGGAATATTAATAGTTGAGATCATGAGTCGATTGTAGCTAGACCACCGTGGTAAAACTGAAAGTATTAAACGGCCGTTTCGTCCTATTAAGGGACTTTTCAGCTATGTGCATTCATGATCCCCTTCACGGGATTTGAACACATGACCTATCAGTATCGCTCGCGAACACCTAATCTCTAGACCACACTGTGCTGCCTGACATCCAACGGTGTTAATATCTAACTTCAACTAATCCGCGAAATTGGGCAACACATCCACCATTGTCTTCATTGAGTTACTATCTCATAACTTACCCGGTGGAAATCCATTGGCCACGACTTCTCACTTAAACTTTATGAAATACCTCTTAAAGCCAGTTACTAGTCTGCATATGTTGATTAATATTAGAAGGGGCTTTGTGGAGATTACGGTGATAAAAATAGTTGGAAAAATTGAGGTTAGACAGTCATGGAAAACCTGGAAGCACTAGACGGTCGTTTCGTCCTATTGTGAGACTCTTCAGTATTGCCTACGTACCTAGAACCACATTCTTAATAAAGATGGTCTTCGAAAAGTCTTCGTTACACGGAGTTATCAATGTTTTATATTAAATATCCAATTTCCAGAATAACGGAGAACGAAATGGAAGAATGAGAAAAATGGGCGATTAACAAAATCGTAGAATAAAATTTCGATTAATGACAAAAACACTTCAAAGTTTTTTGGTGGATTTTTGTTCTCTGAACTGGATGGTTCGGTAGTGGAGCTTTCATCGTTCTTCTGGACGACATCATCAGCACAAACTTCAGATAGAAGTTGAGTGTTCAAATTTCTCCACATGCGTTTCACAGCTTGTTCTGTACACCTCGATGTTGATTCGTTCTTATTGACCTTAAATTTGTTATTGTTTATTTCTTTGTCTTGGTTGTGTCTCTTATTGGTTTGATTCTTGTTTCTATATTTGCACATAACTTGACTGACTGGTTGATAAATTGGATTGATTTCAATGTGGTTGTTGATTGATGACTGACATGAGTGCCAGGCTTCTAAAAATTCCCTCGTCGTTTTGGAATTTCCTTTGTCCAAGATTTCCATATTTTTCTAATCGAATGTGTGTCCACAGTTGTCTACGTGTATTGATATAAGTGAGGAGATATCATGCCGTTTGACTGCTAGTTGATGTTCATGTAGGCGAAGTTGAAGGGCGCGTCCACTTTGCCCGATGTTGTGTTTGTCGCAATTGACACAAGTTATTTTGTAGATGATGTTTGATTTATCTTCTTTTGTTGTTTCATCGTTTGGTTTGCATAAGATTGATTGTAGTGACTTTGTCGGTTTGTGTGTCACACCTATCCCGAAGGTTTTTAGCAGTCTCATTGCGGTTTCTGATATGCCATTTATGTATGGTAGGGTGATCCGTTTGTTGATTTTTGTGCATGACTTGGGTCCTGACACTGCGTGTGGTTGGTATTTTTTAATGAAGTTGATTGGGTAGTCGTTCTTTCGAAGTACGTCTTCCAGAGAGTTCTCTCCATTTCTACGTGTTGCCAGTATGCTGCAGTGTGTCCTCGTCCTCTTGAACAAAGTTTGTACGCAGTTGATTTTATGTGCTCTTGGGTTATTGCTATTGTAGTTGAGAATTTGATCTGTATGGGGGGGTTTCCTACATACCTGAATTTCTAGTTGTTCTGTGTCGGTTCTAGTGATTAATATATCCAAAAATGATAGCTCATTCTTTTTGACGATAACGAATGTGTCGTCTACATATCGTATCCAAATTTTTGGCTTGATCACTGGTAATATCGCGGCTTCTGGTCTTCGCATGACTGCTTCTGAGATCAGTAATGATATTGGTGACACTATTCGTGTCCCTTTCGTTTGTTCGATGAGTTCTAGTGACTTTGAATTTGAAGCTTCGTGCGCTTTGTGAGATTTGTGTCGTTGGCGAGGAGCAGAGATATAGTTTCTTTTGCTAACCTTGGTTTAATTGAGGTGAATAATGCTGTTACATTGAGGGATACCATCAGTTTGTCGTTGTTGATTTGAATGTCCTTAATTTGGTCCAGGAATTGAGTAGGGGATTTGATGGAGTGTTTGCATGAATCGACTTAAAGTTTCAGTATTCGTGAAATTTCTTTTGACAAATTGTACGTCGGCGTTCCGGGCAGTGCTACAATTGGACGTAGTGGAATGTTTGTTTGTGTATTTTTGGTCTGCCTTGGAGTCGAGAGAGTACTGGTCTATTGGATTTCATTCTCCATTGATCTTGTTTTGTTATATCTTCTGCTTTGACTAGCTTGTTTAAAGTCTTTGAAATTCTGTTGTCTATTTTTTGACGGGATATATATCCATTAGTTTGTATGTGTTCTTATCTTCAAGTAGTTTTTCGACTTTTTAGACGTATTCCTCCTTGTCCGTAATTACTGTTGTGCGTCCTTCGATTTCTTTAACGAACTATTCGAAAAAGACTTCATCAGTGAAGATTGGAAACAAATCTGTGATCGAAATATATTTGATAATCCATGAATAGGTTCACAGGATAACTGATATTGCATAAGTTACAATATTCAGTTTGTGTTGTCGATTCCATTTTCAATCATAGACTGGAACTGAAAGAGTGAAAACACAAGTCATTCATACTTTGTAAGGTAAACGATATCTTCAGACTATTTCATCGATAAAACGTCGGTTGACATTTTAAACTATAGTCACCTACCTGTTCTACCTACAAATTCGATCACATTGGCGTAGGTAAATACACACTTTCTGCTTCCCTTATACTGTGGGATTATATTTATATTACACCTTTCTTTCTACGAAATAATTCTTCCCTTGTCTATTAAATACTTATATATAATCTCTCTTTCATATATTACTATCACTGAGGTTACTGCTTCTATGAATTTGATGTTCATCTTGTTGTGCTGATGAGGCGTGGCAACTTGAACCGATGCACATATATGTGCCTGATCCTACGTTGTAGTTGACTAACTACCTACAAATACCCTACGAATTAAAACAGAACAAATATTTATTTATGATGAAAATTACCTCCAAAATAAAGAATTCTCATAGATCTATAGTTTTGTTGTCTCATGCATTTCAATGAAATTTAGGTTAGATTTCTATAATAGACATTTATTTAGAACCTGATTATGTGAACCATTCCGCGAACACTTCTAACCATAAAAACTATACCGACATTTATATCGTATATGATAAGCACTTCAAGTCTAACATCGCTTACGTAATATCCTCTTGTTTATACCCAGTATACTTTAACTAATTACATAATCAATCAATAGGGTATTTATTCCCTCGTATGTTTTCCTACTCTTTTGTTTCTTACTTTAAATACACTTACAAATTTCTTTAAAATAATGATGTAAGACATTACACTAGTGATTGTATCATAAAGAATATTGTTCAAATGAATCGATTGATAGATTGAAATGATAAATCAGACATTTCATTCGTTCTATTTTTTGTCTAAAAGCGAAAGAAAACACATTCTGGTGAACACAACTGATTGTCCACTTTCGAAATCGATATCCAATAAATCAATGAGAGATTATCAAGCGAAATGTTATTTGTAAAGTTCTATGTATCTACGTTAATGTGTAATTATGATTTATTAGGTTGACATAGAGATTATTTTCAAGTATCAAGGACAGATCTAAAAGTGAATAAATATGCAGTTAGCTATACTGCCATAGAAACAACTGCTGTTCGCCTTCATTTACTTATGACTGTTTTGTCTAGTAAGATTATGAATGCAATTCAACCAATCGCTACCAGAACAACTGGTTCATGACGTGCTCTACTGTGATATTCGATCACCTAAATAAAAAAGAATTTGTTTATTAGAATTTTATCAGAAGGGTTTTTGTGGAGATTTAGAAATTTCACTGATTGAAATCATAAGTCAGTTGAAGCTAGACCATCATGGAAAACCTGGAAGCACTAGATGGTGGTTTCGTTCTAGTATGGGACCCCTCAGCAGTGCGCATTCGAGATCGCATCCACCACGAGATTCCAACACAGAACCTATCAGTCTTGCGCGCGAGCAATTAACTTCTAGACCACTGAGCCGGCCGACGTCCAACGGTTTTAATGTCTAACTTCAACTAATCCTCGAAGTTGCGCTATGGTACACCATTGTCTTCAGTCACTTGATATCTCACAACAGACCTGGTTGTACTTCACTGGTATATAGTTAAGTTTAGTGATTTTGTAAAGTTTTCATACGATGTCAATTGTGAATAAATATTATAAGACTAAATTCTTATTTATTTATTTTAACACATAGATATTGGTACAAGGAGGCACCAAATACATATGCGCCACACAGATCGCATTCGATTTGTGTGAGGGCTGTGATACTGCCCGGGTGCCCAAACCAAAGCAGGTGGTTTTCTTAGGAGCCTTTGATACTAATGACTGATCCACAAAGCAGTGGAGCATCGTAAGGAGATGCAGTCCCACGATAGCCAGTGACCAACGATTGGTTCATACGCTATTTGTTCCCGCAGGACACTGGAGTCCATGTGCATCGTTGGTTTGGGATCCGGTTATAGCGCCGTACATTCGCTTTTCGTCCTTTCATTTTTGTAAACAACACCCCCGCCACGAGAAGCAGTGAGTAGGACTTCTATGGCAGAGGCTATATACGCGTGGCCATGTGAGAGCATTTCGAGAGGGAGAGCGAACTCTCCCCACTCTCGACCGTACCTGAGCATTTGGGGGCTAGACTAAATTCTACTGTCTCTTAAAGAATATTCACTATTTATCACTTACATATTACTTGCAAAGTAGTATGTTACAAATGTGCGTACAGAAAGTGTTGTTTAACATCACTTGATTGTGCGTGATAATGGCATGTACGTTTGACGGTTATCTTTTCATTCAACCAGATACTGATTCTGACCAATTTGTCAACGTGTAGTAATTAATGTCTTATTGTATATACTAAGAAATAAACTGAATTACATAATTTAATGGTTGAGATCGTGAGTCAACTGAAGCTAGATCGTCATCGAAATCCTTGAAGCACTCGACGGTTGTTTCGTCTTAGTGTAGGACCCAAAGGTCAGGATTTTCAATACAAATGTCAACACAGTTCTACTGTATGGGAAGAAAACCTGGAGAACTAAAAAACAATCATTCAGAAGATACAGGTGTCTAAGCAAAATACATAGGATCCGTTGACCAGACACTGTTATTAACAACTCAGTATGGGAAAGAGCAATCCAGATCCCAGTTGGGGAATAAATCAGGAAGAAGCGCTGGAAGTGAACAGGACACATATTGAGGAAAATATCCAACTGCATCACAATACAAGCACTGACATGGAATCCTCAAGGCCAAAAGAATAAAGGAAGACCAATGAACATATCACACCGGGAAATGGAGATAGACATGAGAAAACTGAACAAGAATTGGATGGAACTAGAAAAGAAGGCGGAGGACAGAGTGGGTTGGAGAATGCTGATCGGCGACCTATGCTCCATTAGGATTAACAGGCGTAAGTAAGTAAGTGAGACTCCTCAGCAGTACAGATCCATGATATCACCTCGCGAGATCAAATCACATCATTAAAATAAAAGCGCGATTAGAAATGTACTGTAATTTCTTACAAAAGTACATATGTCACTCATATTGATTATTCATTACTATATAGCACCTCATGTCACATACAATTGTTCTTCGTTGTGATTAATCAGATTCCAAGTCAACTTTTGAACTTGTTTGTTAACATCATTATTTTCAGATTGTTTGATTTCGTTTTTAAGTTTAATATTTGGAAGTTGTTACTCTGAGAACCTACATAATTAAAGAAAGACATTTAAGTTGACTATTTGTAAATTGTGAATAAACTTTAATATGTAAATTGATATTTGATTCTATTGTTACTTTTGGATTCGTCAATTGTAAATCAATCAATATACCATATTTCAATAACCCATTCTATTCCAATCATTTCATGAGATTGATGAATTTCAATTTGATAAATTACTTTTAGTGGTAGGATATTTTCTTGTTATTGATTGTTTATACCCCATTCTGTTCTCTTTTCTTTTTATGATTTATTTTCTCTTTCAGGTAATTCACATGTTCATTCCTATATTCACATCTTCTGTTTATATTCAATCTATTTAGATACATTATTTTGTCATTTAACATTGTTACAAATATTCATTACAGGTTTAGATACATATTTAAGATTAAAGAATCCAATAATTTATATATCATCTTTATATAAAAGATCAGCATTATGGTTAAAAATAGGTTCACCATGGTTAATGGCTTGTTTACAATCAATTGGTCAAATAGCATTAAGTGATCGTCGTCAAGTTAAATTATACACTGGTACTATTCAAACACCACCACCACCATCATCATCATCATCATCCATCCGTTACATCCTATAATGTCAATTCATATCTAGATTATTCTATGTTGAATACAGATCCTATAGATGAAAAACAAACCAATACTGAATTGAATGCAGTTTGTCTATTATTAGATCCAAATTTTTTAATAATACGTACTGTAATTGCATATGCATTACCATTAATTACATGTTTAATATTAATTGTATTACAGTTATATGGTTTACGTAGATTACGTTATCATTCACCAGATATGTTGAATGCTTTATTAAAGGTACGTTGTACTAGAAACACCAGTAATAATAATAATAATACTGGTGAATACAATTCAATAATGTGTTCATTACAAGATCCAGTCATTCCAAAACATCCAATACATCATATCAATAGACAGAATCAATTTAATTTATACAATACTCAATTCGTTTGGAGAGAAAACAATACTGGATTACTGGATCACTTTCATACAAACATCGATGGAACCATGTTAAATAGAATATGGTTACAACATCCTCAACATAGACAATTAACAATGATGACAAATTCTCATCCGTTAAATTCAGTAGATACAAATGAAACATTATTACTTAGTAACAATGAATCAATTGATCGAATACAATTCAATCAATCATCATTATTACCAACTAGTTTATCAATTGAATGTCCTACACATGGTCAAATTCAAATGACCAATTCTATAAACCATATATCTAATACTGGTATCTTGGAGAATGATGATAAAACTGTGCAAAATCAAATTTCTAGTTTGGAAAATCACTCCAATACAGAAGTGGAGACAAATTCTGAAAAACACCCATATTCCTGTTCATCAACTACTAATAGTAATATAATAACAGTGAAGTCTATATCAGGTAATAATCATAATAATGGTTTGTTTCCGGGCAAGTTGGGTTCGAATCCTTCCAGTGAACCAATTACTTCAAATGATCTTTTATTTAATTTACATGGTGAACAAGTTAAGTTGTTATCGTTTAGTAATTCATATGAACCGTTGAATTCATTTGGATCAAATCAACATCATTATTATTTATCATCAATGATCTTACCAACATCATTCCCTGAGTCGTCTACTTCTCCGTCCTGTCAACCTCAACAATTACGTCATCAACATACCTCTCCAATGATTTCACAAGTAGATTTGAAAAGAACAAGTGAATTGCATAAATCCAAATCTGATTATCAAATTCAATGTCGAAATGAATTGAATTCATCAAATCTAATAAACGATCGTTTATTAAGATCATATAGTTTAAAACCAAGTTATCATCATCATCATCATCATCATCAGCAGCAGCAGCAGCATCAAACACCATCTTATCCAAGTCAAATCTTATCCAATGAGAATAATGGTAGTGATTTGTGTAAAACAAATTTATGGTTAACTGCCTATCAAGGTGAACAATTAGTGGTAGCAATTAATTTAGTGAATTGTATTATTGCAGTTGGTACATGGTCACCGTATATATTAGTAACATTAGCATATGGTTTATGTCAACCAATTAGTATACCTAAATCTCTATATAATCAATGGATGAATTCTTATGGAACTTCATCATCATCATCATCATCATCATCATCATCATCATCATCGATCTCTACCAATTATCCTTTCTCTTCTATCCAATCGATTTCATCTACTATTAATAATAATGATCTCAATATATCAGATCATTTCATGAATAAATGTTGGATTCATTTAAGTATTGATCGTATAGCAGATTTTCGTTGGTGGGCATATGCATGCTCTGGACTATTATTACCATGTTTATTATTCTTTCTTGATTTAGGTTTACGTGAAGGTTGTTGGAAAGCGTTACAATTAAAGACTAAATCAAATGAAAGTAATAATTCCATGAAATTCCCTTTAAACCCTATGAATAAACAATCAATCATTGATAATCAATTCAATTCTGTCCAAGTTTTTAATCATACAGACAGTCATAGTAACAGATTATGTAATCATCCATCAGCAAGTCATATTAGCAACATCGACTGTAGTATAAACACTGAGTCAATCAATAAACCTTTCAAACTTCAACAATTTGAAATGATCTCAACTATTCCATGTACACAGACCAATACATTAATGTAGAGTAAACATGTCTGTGAGTGTAATGATCATTAGACATGGCAAATTAGAGAGAGAAAACAAAAGCAAGCCATTAGAATCCATAAATCAATACCATCTTTCTTATTCATTTCCAGTCTTCATCATGTTGAATTGTAGTGAACAGAATACGCCTGGGTATAATCGAATGTATTTCGTCACATGCTTACAGAGCATCTCAGTAAGATCTGAGAACCATATATTAAATCATTAATTTGCAAAATATCAATTCATTATATCAAACTAGACTGTTCCAGTTGCAAACATCAATTCATTGTCTCAAATTTGATTGTTCATGCGTTTTCATGCCAATTGCATTGTGTTCCCGCTCTACTGTTTTTGATCTTCCCTCATCTTCTGCTGCCAGACATTAACTTTATAACTCGCTTCATGTACTACTTATATCAATATAAGTAGCGCACAACACAGTATCATCACATGAATGGATTAGAAATAAACTCTTATTGAACAGATCGACCTCAGATCTTTGTATTCGACTAGACGAAAGAATCATTGTGGTAAGATACCAGTTACATAAAAACGAAACAAATACTCACTATCAAGTCATCACAAATTCTCATGAAAATGTTAACATACAGTACAACTTAGTTAAACAATAATCTTTTCGAGAGAAAATCTACTTCATTTCGATTGAAAGACAAAAAGAAATACAATTCAGGACCAATTTATTATGTAACATTCCAATGTAACAACTTTTCAATGTTATAGGTTGTATAGTTGCTTTTTGATATTGTCTTATAAACTATTAATATCATATGAGTTATGTGGATAAGATTATGAATCCCACAATAGGATGAAACAGTAGTTCAATGCTTCCAGGTTTTCCATGATGATCTGGCTTGAACTAACTAATAATTAAGTGGTTTGTAATAATATTTGTAAAGTGATATTTGAAAAGAAATCAGCTTGATATTTTAACTTTTAGAGTCTTTTGAATTATCCCACTGTTAATATTCTTCATCATTTCGATCAGTCTTACTTGATATACGTTCATCTTGTGCAGTTCAACTTGATATGACTGTTATGTCCTCCACTCGATTAACACAGTATACGATATAAAACTAACATCACTCAAACTGATTGAACCACACAGTCACAAATCAAAAGACCGAAGAAAACAAGAGAACTGATTGTTGGGTAAGAAATCAAAAAGCACTGAAAATCTTAGGTATTTATAGATATTAACAGTCTTTATAACATATTACAATTCAGCTAATCTGCAAGGAAGCAAGTTTTGTTATTCTCTAATCGTAGCATACCATGTTAATATTCTAGAAGGCTTCATCAAGTTATGATTAGATTGAAACCGTTCACTTAACTTCACAAATCAGCATAAAATATTGTGAACGCCTTCATTAAATGCAAACGATAAAGCGTAATATTGAGATAATATGTCAGTTCAACGTATTCAACAGGAAATTCTAGGACTAGATTTCGTACCATTTGACACTTATCAGTGGGATGTAGTTGTAATGTTGAGTAAACTAATGCTCGCTAACGGATTCTATCCTGTGTCACTTGACTTTATAGTTAGAAGCGTTGAAACTGGATTATCCGGGCAGCAATTGATCTCCTGTAAGACGTCTGTGAATGTGACACTGGATGACGCGGGATCGAATCCGTCTGTCAGCTACCAGTTCCCTCAAGATTACAGGTACAACTCTCTGACAAGTGCCACGAAAACTGGTTTCAGGGTTTCCTGTTGAATACCTTCAATTACCATCTAATCTCAACATGGTGCACACAATGTCGAGTCACCTAGATTAGTGGCCACATTGCAACTTGGTCGATAGTATTCGATCTGCACTAAGAAGGATCTGACAAGACGGTAATATTGATCATAAACATAATTAGTTTATTCAGTACGAGATGTTCAATTAGAGTAGAGAATTATTCATTATTCATTATGAAGTTAATGCTTAATTGGCATCTAATTGATAGAGTATTATTATTCTCTAGTACACTATAAATAAAATCTAATCTAGTGTATTATGGATACAACATTACAACTTACCATTATTTCATTTCCTTTCATCGTCCGATCTGAAACTTTTGTTTCGTAATCAGAAGAATATTGAGTAATATGGAATAAGCTATTTTGAAGTTCTTTCAAGTATTTCAATAGAGCAAATATTGAAGTGTTTGCATATCTACAATAAGGATTTTAATAGTCAATTATGTTTATGAACTGTTTTTTCTCTTTTTTTTTTGGTAATTCTTAATATATGACATGGTGTATGATTTGTAGTGACCTTGGTTCGATAATCAATCACCTCCATCACCGTTATCATATAAACCTCAACGGCGTTTGAAATCAGAAAGCAAAGAGAAATGGCAACTACAGTTTATTATCGGATAGCATAGAGCACAAAGTTATAAGCACGTTAAGCGAATTTGTAGTGGGGAGGTAAATTAGTATATAAGTGCAAATACATAAACAAATTTACAATCAAATTGCATCAGGTCATAACAAGCCAAAGCAAGGATTAATAATAGAATTTCAGTTTATATATATAAACATGGGAGGGGAAGGAGGAATCACCGAACGATATTTAAGTAATCGACATTTTAGCTAGAGTTTGTCTTCTGCTTTAGTGATCATGACAGTACATAGAAATATACGAATTGTTACTATTCAAATGATATAGTCTGTTAAGTAAATTATTAAAAGAGCTTAACCAAAATTAACCATAATCAAAATTGGTTATAGAAGAATTGCTATAGTTTTGAAATATAAAGTAAACCATAAAGAGATACCAATGAATAACTTGAGTTCTTTTGAGAAGTTCACCTGTCACTGATTTGACTCTAAATTTCGGTTGTAATGAGGTATGGGTTACTTATATATACACAAGTAGTATATAACGGTTGTCAGGCAGAGAATGTATTTCATCAGAAGGGGGCTGGAATACTGCCTGGGTGCCTAAACCGAAATAGATGGTTTTGCTAAGGGGCCATACCCGGAGAGTAGATTGTTATGTTAAGCATTATGAATAGATGACTGTTTACTACTCTCAGGTATATCACTCAAAACGTATTTATCTATACCACCACCACCTCCACCACCACTCTATTTCTTCCGTTGTTATAATGAGGATGAATAATGTAGAAGATTGGCGCTAATAAATACATGAATTTTCATGACCAATGAGAAACAAAAAGTCACACACTTTAAAATTGTCTTCAGATGGGCTATATAATCTTTATTCTGTTTCTCTGTGTATAACAGTCACTAGGTCACTTAGTACAAATCAACTCACAATTACATTCATAATCATGAATAATACGTCTTCCCTATGTGATATCCAGTTATGAAACATTAAATAGTAATTTTTCAATAGAAACTATTATTACAATTAAACAGAAATAACCAGTATATGAAAAACAATTCTATGAAATTCCAAAACAGTAAGTGGGTTGCGACTACCTGGAAGCATTGGACAATCGTTTCGTCCTGGTATGGAACACCTTAGCAGTGCGCATTCATGGTCACGGCCCTTCCCAGCGAGATCCGAACCCAGGACCTATCAGTCTCGCACTCGAACGCTTAATCATTAGACTACTAAGAGAGGATCATGGATGAGCACAGTTGAGGAGTCCCACATATATATAAGGTCAACTAGACTAGAAATGGGGGGTAAGAAGAGACAAGGATAATAAAAAATATAATGTGAAAGTGAGGACAAACGGTTTTTGAATACACAAAGTGGTTTTAAATTTTCGTATGACTAAGGCCTCAATAAACTTTAGTATACACATTTTTACACTTTTATACAACACTACAAAAGCCGAGTTAAGATCAATTTTATGATCTGTTTCAGTTATGTGTTTGGCAATAGAGAATGATGGATGTTTATTCTCTCTTCCTTATTGGGTCATATGATTCTATTTGTTTCTACAATCATTTACGTACATGTTTACACATCTTACTTTTCAGATCATGATTACTCCTCTCTATTTATGTGTGACCACATAGACACACACACACATTTAAATCAATAAACACAATGAGATGTGACGCAATCATTTTAGTTTTTCGATGGAGGATGAACCTTGTCCTTTGCATAATGAACTTTGCTGCATAATATGTCTTGTTAATGACTGATTTAAGCCTTCAATAAAAGGTTATCTTAATCACCTCTAAATGGTAAGTTGATGTAGACAGGTTATTTGTTTCTGACAGTCTTATGACGGGATAAAAGGTCAAAATTAGATTGATATATTCATTATGATTTGTATTCAACATTAATTCCATTTAATTCAGTTTGATGATCACTTTGTATAGTATTTGTTGCTGTTACTCAGACTGACATTTTATTCTGTATAATATACGAATCGAATCTCGCAAAGAGACAGACCGTAGATGTACACTGCTGAGGAGACTTATACTAAGACGAAACAGCTGTCAAGTGTTTCCATGTATTCCATGATAGTCTAGCTTCAATTGATTCATGATTTCAACTATTGAAACTCCTTCTGATAATATATATGTGATTTATTCTGATTATTCATCAAAAATTTCGGATTAAATTTATCATGGTTACGTGTGGTTCTGGTTACTTTTGTAATATATTTCCCCATTTCGACCTTGAACTTCAGTCTGTCTAATTAGCGGGGTTATGATGCATCTTTGATCACAAAATCTTTGTTCCTCTTCATAGACTAGATAAACTCATAATCGCTTCAAATTTATCACATAGCTAATAGTAGATCTTCACTTGGTATTGTTCGGATTGTATCTTCCCATTGAAGTTTAAAAGGCTACAATTAATCAGTCTGTTATTGGCATATGTGCATACTGTGCGTATGCCTCGATATTGTCTTAATTCATAAGCTTTGTAGTAAGCAATGATGGGTAGTGGCTAGTAGTGGAATCCAGGACGCGTGTTTATTTTTATTTACTCATTTGTTTGCTTTTAAGTTTCTATCGAATCACTAGTTCCTGGTCTGTAAACTAAGAAGAT